TGATTGATCAAAAGATATCAATGACTAAAACTGTTTTATTCACAGATTTATCTAAAATCATTACGTAACAGAGTATTTATTTATCATCACAGCAAGGGTAATGTATACTTTCCCTCATCAATATACAATGATTCAAGTTTATTAGACAATCCGAGGTTATATTTAATGACTGAACGATCTTAGACAAATATTCAATGTTTTTTTTAAAATAAAACAATGCCGATTTGAAATCATTGAATCTATTATCACACTCTACTATGTCATTGTATTTAGTTCCCGTATTGGGATAAGTTCATTTAACGAGATTTCAAAGCAATATTCAAAATCTTGTAATGATATTATACCGTTCTTTTAAGCTTGCTTAATTTTTCGAAAGTACAACCAAGATTCGTCTAAATAGTCGCTACACTAGGAAGCTTAACAATCAATTATTTCGAAGGTTTTTTCCGTGAATTATTCGTGTTGTATCATATTTATTAATGATTGCATTCCATTGTTGCTATAAATATTTATGCTATTTATGTAATCGTTCGAACAGCAGCTCGTAGAAAAGCTAATCTACATAAATCTAAATTACGAACAAACGTCTGAAAATATGCTGAGTATTCGTTTCAATCCGAATTCGATACTTCCTGTTAGGAACAGTATTCCTTCCAAATAATCTTGTTTGAATTCGATTTTTCTATTTTCATTCGTTAAATGATAGAGATAAAATCTACCAAAGTGTAATAGAAGTGTAGTTTGTGTCAATAGTTTTTGTCAATGGATATTCGATAAATGGCAATAAATGAATTCTTAAGAAAGAAATCATTATAAATCGTCAGAAAATTCACGTTACGACTGTGCACTGTTATTGTCTCTTATCTATCCGTCGATCGATCTAACAACCAATCCAACTTATTGGCGTAAAAAAATTTTTATAAAGAATTCAGACGTTATTTTTTAGAAACTTATTACGTTTCTGTCTGTGAAACAAAGCGGTAATGAGACGAATCTTACCGAAGCTTTTCTCGAATCTATAAGCCGTACCAGTGAGCAAAGTATGAGCTTAAATAGAGGATATCAGTTGGTGAGGTTCCCTCGTGAATGAAATTCCGATGTGTTGATAAGTCCTTCCAAGATGAAACATCAGTCTTTTCGACAAGTAGTCTTGAATTTTTCGCCAGTAGAGATCAGTAAGAAGATGTACGTGACAGTCTTTTTATCCAATAGATCTCCATTAAAGTAGATTAGAGAACTTTGTTATCGATGAGCCAATCTGAATTGATTGTCCTGTCTGCATAGGTATTTGTTTGACTTGGATTTTTTCGCGAGATTGATTCAAATGATAATGCATGCATAAAAATGATATTTTTCATCAACAAACGAAACTGAATAGTTTGTTTGTTTGCGACAGTTGACAAAAGACAATGTGTACAAGTAAAATCAAACTTAACTGTTTTTGTGTTGTGATTCGAATCATAACAGATAAAATAAGGAAAGCTACCCTTTCTAACAAAATCATTTTTCTTTGGAGAAATTTCTGGAAAGTGTTTATAGCATCAGATACAATTCGTCATTAAAAATGTCATAGAAAGATCCATGGATACAATTAGATGATTATTTTGCCTATGATGTTTTATAGTTAACAAAAATATTAAAATGAATATTGATTTTTTTCAAAGTTTTATTGTTTCTGAATTAAATCAATATTGATTTTGTTGAACTGTACAAGCGATATTTTTATGGATCGTCTATTTTGCGATGCTTTTTTTTGGTTCCTTTTTTGGAATGTTTACTACACTAATAATCCCCTGTTTTTTTTTCTTTGCTTTTTCTCTTTCCTTTTTTTTCTCTTTCTTTTTTTTTCTTTCCTTGTTTTTCTCTTTCCTTGTGTTTCTCTTTCCTTGTTTTTCTCTTTCCTTGTGTTTCTCTTGCCTTGTTTTTCTCTTGCCTTGTTTTTCTCTTCATCGTTCTTACTTTATCTGTATATCGTAGAATTACATCGACTATTAGCTATTGCGAGCACATTTTTAAAAAGACAATAAAATGTGGCAGTTAAAAGAAGATGTATATTCGTTGTTTCAAAAACCAAAATATGCTCCGATTGATGGAATTCGGTCGATCTCTTGTTTAATGATTGTTTTCATTCATATCGTTACTTTATTGAACTCATTCATTCCATCTTATCCACACCAACAGTGGATGACTTATTTGAAGAGTTATTCATTCAGACTCTCGCCATTATTTTCATCGGCATTGGAAGCATTTTTCATGTTATCTGGTTTTCTTCTCACACTAAAATTCATTCAACAGCGACATCTTTTCTCATGGAGAGAGTATCCTACGTATATACTTAGACGTGCCTATCGTTTTTGGCCAGGTTTTTTACTGATCACCATGGTGATTCTCATATTAGGTGATCCTGAAACAAACTGGACAAGTGTTTGGCTATTTTATCATAACTATGTTAATATAGAACGATGGACACCTGGCTTTGCTGCACTCTGGAGTGTCAGTCTCGATATGCAGATGCATATACTACTACCTCTCATTCTTCACGTTGTTACCAGCTTCAAATCGAATTATCAAAGAACTTATCTAGCATTGTATATACTTGTTATTCTATCCATTATCTATTCACTACTAGTGTTTAATCCGAAGACTATGAATGTTCTGACGCTTACATATAATTATAATTCAATGGCACTATTAATGCCACAATGGATTTTCAATTGGACCAGAGCTAAGTATAATGTAACAATGGCATTCGAGAAAACAGTCGATAAAAGTCTACTGACACCGTTTACGGAATTAATGTGTCTACGTGTATTAAGTCGATATTCGAGCTTTGTAATCGGATCGATTCTCGCATTTCATCTAGTCGATGTCAAAAACAAGAGCATTATTCATTATGGAAAGATTAAAAAATACATTTATTTAACATTAATTTTACTCTTTGTGCTTTTTTTGACGATGCCAGCTGAACCAAATGCCGCCAATCCCTTAGTATTATCAATTATGATCTCCATTATTCGACAATTATTTTCGATATCACAAGCATTTATTCTCTTTTCGGCCATTTGTCCACCGACGCATCCTTATCACAGTCCATGGATCAAATCATTTCTATCCCATCCCATCTGGACACCAATTGCTAAATTAAGTTACCTAGTATATGTACTTCATTTTCGAATTGCATTTGAATTGATAATGTCTCATAGTCATCTATTTGATCCTAAACGTTTTTCAATCGATGGTTTAACACTCCTATGTCTACTACTAGTATTAACAATCTGTCTCATTTTATCGGCCGTGTGGTTCATTCTTGTCGAACAACCATTTGATCGATGGATTAATATGCGACTATCCAATGGTGAGAAGTCGCATACAAAGTAGTCGGTCAAAAAACTTTGACATAGTTATACAAATGAATTACTTTTTGAAATTTTTTCTGTAGAAAGTAGATGTTTACTGCTGCTATAGTCTAACATAATCAATGGAAATTTGGGATTCAGAATTTTAACATAGATTTAATAAATGGATAAAAGTTTCTTTTTTCTTAGATGAAATGCATTTTGCACAAAGAAGAAAAAGGCTGGGTATGGGGTGTGGATGGGTGATTGATGAATTTGACACTTACAATCTCAGATGGAAATTGGAAAGTAGTTCAAATAATCTTGTATGTGTACATAAACTTTATTGTAAATCAAGATTGCCATTAAGTAAAGCAATGCAACAAGTATTTATTGATGGGAATATTTCAGATGCTCAGAAATATTTCCAGGTGAAGCGATTTTCATCGAAAAATATTTATTGTCGATTTTGTTGAAAGGAATTAATAACTTCATTTTTTCGCTGCTGTTAAAAGAACTCAAATTTATCTCAAATCATTGCTCAAAAATTTTAATAATTACTTCGAAATGAAATACAAAAAATTACCTTTTACATAGCTTTACTCTTAGAATCATATAACCTGATCAGGGGTGTGGGTGCGGGTGCGAATGAAGAGAAGAACTACACCCACACCCTTTTATGAACCAGTTTTTTCACTTTTTTTATGTAAATAAAGCAATTACATCATGATCCAGTTTTTTACTCGATACTATATTGCAATTCATATCACATTCTTTTATATGATCAGGAAAAGTATTATGTTTCTATCAAATTTAACGACTAATTGCTTTTTTTATCATTAATTATTTGTCAGTAGCTTAATCAATTGAATTTCGTTTTGATTTATTTGTTGATAACTCTGCTGATGATTGAGGGTGTGGGCGTGATATTTTGTGGATTCTTGTTAAAGAAAAGAGTCACACACACCCTAACATCATGTTCATTACTTTATTCAAAAGCAGCAACAAATGCTGCTTGATCTAGTAATGTTCCTAGTGGATTTTGAATTTTGTGGAACTCACGTATATTTTCGAAGAAAATAGTGAGTGTAAGTTTTAAGTTCAAGGTTTTTCGGCTCTCCCCCCATTACAGACCATAGTAACGGAAGAGAACATTATAGACATACTTCACATTACAGACCTTAGCGACCAGGTTCAAAATAAGGGATATACATATACATATATATATATATAACAGTTTCATTCGCCATACAATTCAATGCTTCTTATAATAAAAATGTAAAATTAAAGAACAAAGAAGTGTTAAATATGAAAAATACTGGGCGAATAGCAACAAAGAAAACGGAAAATCAGGACGGCTGTCAGAAAATTAAAAAACTCGTGATTTTATACTATCTATATTTCATATTAGTATAATGAAGCTGAAGAATATACGTGAGTTCCACATTTCAGCCCCAAAGGGGCTGCGCTAACAAGCTTTTTCAAATAAATATGAAGCATAACCTTTATTATCTCCCGCAACTAATAAATTTGTTTTTTTTTAAAGAAACATTATGAACTGGATAGAAATTAATCATACCAATTTCATGTTCTCCATCAATTGATTCAAATCTTAAAGCTGTCATTTCATGATCTGTATTATATGTATAATTTCTTCCATCAATATTATGCAAATAAGAAGCTTGGAGAACGATTTATATTAGCATTATCAACTTGTCCAACATTTATTTGAATTCTTCCGAGTTGAAGATTTTTATGTGCGCGTATTATTGACTGAACAATACCATCAACACATGCTTCCCAATTTTCTCGAACAAAATCGAATGTCGATATATCAACTAGAAGAGTGCCACCTGTTCCATCAGGTGTTGAATGTGTATGTATACCAGATATTAAAACATTTTTATCTGTATATAATTTTGATCCAAATTTTTTATTTAAACGATCTATAACTTCTGTTTTAACTAATTGAAAATACATAAACGACACGATTTTCTTCTTTATTAACATTACCTATTATAAATGCACGAGAACGCATTCGTTGTAATAAACCATGATCTCGTTGTTGGGGAGTTGCATACCTCATAAAACCAACTAACATAAATAGACAAAATTTAATATTCTTAAAAACAAACAATTATTTATTTACAAAAAAACATATGTCCAAAATCAAAAATAATAGTTTTGAATGAACATTAATCACTGGATTTAAGAGAAAAAACAAAATTTACGTTCAGCAACTTTTCCAGTTATATTATAAATCCCAGCACCAATCTAAAACATTACTCTAATATGTATCTGAAAATATGTTGTTTACTTGCTAAAGAATTTCTAGTCTCATTGTTTGTAGCCGTAATAAAATTAATAAAAGATAGAACCAAAACAAGTGTTGACTCATATAAACGAACTTTCATCATAAAAGATTGATAAAAGAATTGTTTTATTTAATTCTAATGTTGTTTCAATCAAGAAATATTATTTACATTGTGTATGCGTTTCTTTTTTCTTCTTTTTCTGACGATTCATATTCAAAATTACTATTTCTCAATTATAAAATTGCTTTTAACTTTCGAAATTTTCTGAGTTGCTCTCTTTTTCTTAGCTTGTAAATTTATTGTTGAGTTTTTTTTTTAAATCATGTTTCCTTATAAACCAAGTAAAATGATGCTACAGAAGAACATTCGAAGATAATTTTTTATCACTACGTTGTTTGAGGAAAAGAATATCCTAATACATCATTTTACAATATCCAGATTATGTCAGAAATTATTCAAGATTTCTACTCCGAGAAAAAAAAACAGCGGATGCAATTATAAACATTTCTCCTTCGTGAATATGATGGCGAACAAGTTTATGAGTTAAATTAGAAAGTAGAATAATTTTAAATGAGAATAATTTTTTGTTGTTGCAAACTATCAGAATAGGTGTTTCATTCGCGTACAAATGTTTTAATCCATTCAATGTAAAATTTATGCACGAAAATCATAATCGATATAGTATTATTTTAAGAACTTACTATTGGAGCTTATTGCTTCCTCACTATTTGATTTCCTTTCTACAAACTCCAAAAAAATCTATAGTTGATAATATTTGAAATCTGACGTGAAATCGTTTATTGTATAATTCATTGGCAAAAATGTTTTTTTTTCCAAAATTTTTTAACTTTTATTAGATATTTTATTGAATCTTTCTTTGATTTTCTCTATTTTCGGTAATATCACTCATCGCCTAGAATCTTTTGAGAAACAGCATTCTTCATATCTATAAAGACATAAAATGTAAAACTTTTACAATCGTTAGATTTTCTAATAGCTATTAACAACTATTTTAGTCGGTCACATTTCATATGTACCGATATTAAGAACGAAAGAAAATTTCTTACAAAATGTTTCATCTAGTAACTCACAGCAATTAATATTGAATCACATCTATGCAATGCTTTGGCTTGTTTATTTATGATTACCGTAGCTATAATCATAAGGCTATCGAGAAGTAGTGACTCGTCGCAAGCGCACGAATCTAAATGCTGGCCGATGGATGAATCATGAAGACAACTATAGAAGCCACGAGCATGATGGAGTCAATATTAAGAGCAATAACTATCTTGTTGTATGATAGGTGCACCATTGATAAGTGAGAAATTTATTGAATATTGACGATTACTTATTATTCACAAGAAATACACGATCTCATATACAATAGTCTGCAATATTTCATGATGAGCAAGTTTGTTTTTCTTACCGAACTATTCAAGCAAATCTGCCTATATTGCTTGCAAAATAGATCCAAAATATAACCCGATAGTCAGACAGCCAATAGAATATTATACTTACAGCTAGACTCTAACGTCAAAGCGTATCTCTCCTGGAGGAACAAATAAATTTTCTTGTATTTTTTTCTTTTCCAAACTTGCTGTATAGGTAATAACCAAAAGAAGACACCATAAGCAAAAATCTACATCGTTTATCTGGCTGTAAACAACTATTTTTTCGCATAATTATGATTAAGATAGTCTTTTGACGATCAATCAAGAACAAAAAACAAATATTTGTTACAATACATTCTCTCTACCTTCATTCTTGTTTTATCAAATAGTCTACTCACATAGTGTTTGTTTTTTTCCTTAAGTTATATTGTGAGAGAAGTATAGTCACAAAAAAATTGATACGCAATGGTTGAGACTTTTCCATAGCTTGAAACAAATTATTACCTTTAAGCGAGTAACAGTTTGACCTGTAGAATGTAATAATAGATTAATGCAGATAATTTATTTCTTAATCAAAAAAAATGATATTAGTAGATTTCGAAACTAAATAATAACAAAATGATAAATTTTGATATTTCTATAAATATTTCTAGTCATTTCGACTCATCATCAGCATTACTTTATGGAATATCAATTGGCTCGTAACTTTGAATATCATTCAACGTTGAAAAAAGCAAATCGTTGGAAAGATCCTAAAGATTGGTTATTTGATAGAGTTTTTCAGAAATAGATACGGTGTAGTCTTCAACTTATTAAAAAAAAACAGATTTACCGACAAAAAAGCGTACGTTCTATCATTCTTTCCATTTCTCTCGCTTTCTATGACTTAGTTTTTTGTTTTTTCGTCTTCGTAATGAGTCATAAGCGTATATATAGAGAAGCTTGGTCATATATTATCTGCAGGACTGATAGAAAAAAGAAATGAATCTTTTTATATCGAAGATGAAAGTGGTGTGACGGCGATGTTGCAATTTGTTTTTCAAATAAAATCGTAATATAAAAAATGCTTTTGCCTTCTGAGATAAATTTCATATCAAAATATATTGAATTACTAATATGTCAGGAACAGTTATTTTGAATTAAATAACGTACGGTGCCAAAGTAATGGTACAATTATCAATTCCTGTTTCTCTTCAATAAAAGGATGCTAAACGGAATTTCTTTTTATTCAAAAGATGGAGCCTTTTCTTCTCTTTCGAAACATATAACAACTTATTTTTATAACACATTCATAAACGAAATGACACAACAGAAAAGAGAAGCACTCTTAAAAAGAATCTATACTTTTCCATAAAAGGATCGCATTAAATGTCGATCCTAATATCGCTTCCATAAACAGGTTTTGAAAAGAAGATTTTTTTATCAGTTGATAGGAAATTTACTCACATTTCGAACGGTATATGATTCATATTTGTCACCCATTGATAAGTGAAGCGACACGAGAAAAAGAAAAAGCACTCATTCAATAAATTTGCAAGTTTTATATGAATCTGTCAAAAATAACATGTAGATGATAGTTTATTATAATAAACTGCCGTTTTACAAGATGTTTTTATCGATTTCATAAAAGTCACAGTAAGCACCATGTTACAAGATCTTTTTAATGGCTCCTCAGAATTCGAATTAATTACTGTCTGACAAGATCATTGTAGCCATATTATGTAAAAGTTATGAAATTGTTGTGTTGTGTTTCTCTTTTTTTCTTCTTTTATTTCATTTAGAAATGTGTGACAAATATAAATCATATACTGTTCAAAAGAGAAGAAAATTTCCTATCAACTGATAAAAAAATATTCTTCTCAAAAGCTATTTATCAAACAGATATAGGAATTAATATTTAGCGACGTCTTTCTGAATTTCACAAAAAGTGGGAATGTTTTTTAAGGGTGCTTCTCTTTTCTGTTGCTTTGTATGGTTTTTACTGGTCATGAACCACTATGAAACAACGAGCATTCGCTATGAATTAGTTTATCTTCTTTTTTTCAGACCAGTTAGAAGAGCTTTATACTTTCAACCCAGAGAGATTCTTTTTGTTCTGGTGATGGCAACACGACAAGCTTTCTAGTTCACCTTCGATAAAGACCATTGTCGTCGTGTAAACTTGCCTCGATTGCATATGTTCTGTGCAGCTACAAGAGAATAATTATTTTATATTCGGTAGAACAATTTCACAAACAAACAAGCAAAAACGACACAAACAGTTTATTTAATATAAAATCCGTGCACTTGATATTTCCATATTTGACGACATAAAGATTGTCGTATCGATCGAATGATAACTCACAATTGGTCATATGCTCACAAATACCTAGACTTACACGCATATGCACACCCACACTCAGATCTACATTCAACAATTAAAAATAAGGTTCATGATGATACATAAATTTGTATTGATCACATAAATGCCTGATTTCGTTGCCCATACTATGATTTCCTGTAAAGAAGACATTTGTCTTTTCGTGTTCAGCTTTGAATTTGGCAAATAAGGATGGCCATTGTGGCCTGCCCAGAATTGTTTTTGTTTTCAATTTAGTAAGAATATCTCGATTTGATATTTTTGCATAGATATTTGAGACAAGATCATAAGGAGCATTACCAATCATTCCTTGATCATTTCTCTTCAACGATGTAAAATATAGATGAAAATCAATATAACGTTGCTGGACAGTATTTTCCGATGTTAATGCTTGAAGATATGCTATTTGCTCATTTTCGAAGTCGGTCAATAGTTGTAAGAACCAAGAAAAATTTTCCACGTCACGATTTACCCAAATAAAATCGACTTTTTTTAATTTTCGTCGTACAATTGCTTCATAATCATAATTGATGTGGTGACAATTTTGACATATGTATTGTTGTTCACGAAATTGATACATTAAAGATTCGAGAACGCCAGTATACGAAGTGATACCTAAACATTGATATAATAAGGAAAATATTCAAGTTAATTCATTGTGAAACAGTTTAAACAAAAAACAAAGATCTTGATCTTATAAAATTATTCGATAAGGATAGAATATCATCTTTTAAAGTTTTTTTCTTGCTTCGAAATTGAACGAATCAACGGCATGAAAAAATCTGCTTACTAACAACAAGTTTGACGCGTTACTGATAAAAGTTGTACAAAACTTCAAAATTTAGATTCATGCAGATCACCAATTTTAAAGACAAATGAGAATATTAAGTTCGTTACTATAGGATGGAGTTGAAAGATACAATTCTATATTAGAATTGCATGAAAAAAATGACAATCATCAAATTCGTAGAATGGACGATAAATTGATAAGAACAATGGAAGAGAGTCCTCTGAATAGATATGGCTTCTATCTGAC